TGATAATAACATTATGACAAAGTCTCGCGACATTATAACATCGTAATTCATAAATATTCATCGTTCAAAACAGCGAACAAACGATAGACGATACTGTTATTATAATATGTGGATGTATATTGTATATATTATAAATACGCGATGTGTGAATATTTAATAATATTTGTATGAATTATAATGTATAAACAAACATTTTTGTGGTTGCTCCGTAGCTAGTCACTAGTCGTTAAACACGTACCTAATTATTCGAATTTCGAAGCGTATCTGTGTGTGTGTGTGTGTGTGTTTTTATAAAAAAATGTGTTTCTTACTAATTTTATCGTTATCAATTTAATTTTTTTTTTACTTTTTTGATGACAACATGCATTTTTAATTCGATATCCTAATACAATTAATATTTTTTGGATTATTTAGATGTATATAATTAGAATTTTGGACGAGTAGTCTATGAATTATAAGTATTTAAAGTTCCACAGAGTGAAGTGATCTGTGATACCAGGGGTACACTGAAAATGTTCATCCTCTATTCCGGTCAACTAAACTTAAAATATTTATAGTAACTAAATGTCCTGCTTGTGACATGTATGAAATTTGATTTGTGTAGTTCGAAATACTCAGATTAATATTCTACTATATTATTATGGAATATGAAATTAATTTTTAACAAAACACCGAGTATACAAGAAAATAATAAAAAAAATAGATTATTAAGAAATGTTGTATTGCAACGATTTAAAATGTTGTGAAAGAATTATTTTCAAAAACGTTTCTGAAAACGTGAGTGTTTTGCGTTAAATGGAACACTCCGCGTACGCCTCTATAGCCTGAACCGTATCAATTGCATTAATTACGGTCTAACGTCGGTTTAACATTATAGGTATATGTACGTGTGGTATAATTATTGTGGGACCGACCCGCGCGTGTTTGCTTCGGGACAACAACTTACGAAGTACCGCGGGTGAGTACGTGTGCTGCTCAATTTTTGATTTCGCTAAATGGCCTAATATAGGTTCTATATGTATACATAGGCACATGTTTAGTTCAACCGTAACACATAAACACGTCAATAATAATTGCGGTGGTAGGATTTAGATTTGCGAATTCCGCGTCTTAAAAATGTATTTACGTAAATAGAGCTCGAGTAGGTGCTCGTGTCTTGCTGCAGGGCACGCGTATATCACCTAATACCTATCAATTTTTCGGAGTAGTCGCAGTCGACAATGTTTTGGGTTCGCCGAGGGCCACCGTTGTGAAGGACCCGCCCCAAGTCTAGACGTCGTATTTACATTAGATGTTTTATTATTGTTGCACGTTTCCTGGCTTCCATTCCTCCACTCTTCGTGGACGGTGACCGCAATATCTTAATGATATTATATATTTTTTTATTACTATTATTATTATAGGTAGGTAGGTAGCTGGTATGCACCCATTACGGTTTATTCGCGTTGCATTCGGCCATTATACCTACATAATAATAATAATAATATCATATCGTTATAAACGTACGTATCGACGCTGATTTTCCGGACAAAAAACACTGCAGCTTGTTTGGTGACTTATGTCGTGTTAACTATTAAGACTTAAATAACCCATCGACTATATACTGCAACCGAGTGTATTGCATTCAATTATTGTGCAACATTTTTCTTTATTAGAGAGACCCGTGGTAACATGGGCCATTGGGCGTGGGGTGGTATGGTAGGAGTTATTTTTGTATATTTTAATTTAGTAGTGTTGTAACACGTGTTTGTGTATGTGTTGCAAGAATATGTTGCTAAAAATCCCGGGTGGTCACCCATCCGGGATGAGCTAGCAACTGCGGCCAGCACGCGTACGCTCAGCGCGTTTCTGCCTGATATTGTGCAACTTGTATATAATATGCGTATTGTATTGTATTGTATTGTATTTTTTTTTTTAATTCCAACCATCCATTGTAAGAGACTGCCTCATCACTACGGAGACAGTTGAATTTCCAACGTATCCGGAGTTAAAATGTTAAAATGAATTCTTTAATGAATTAAGCTGTGTATATTTTCCTCATATTCAATTAAACTAGGCGACACTTTGCAGGAATTAATCCGAGACGAAACGTCTCTCAGCGCTCGTTTAAAATACACAACACCATTCGTCCTTTATACCTGTATGGTATTAATTTAATTTTAAATTATTCAGCTTGTCATGGTTTTCCACTTGGTACTTGCAAAACTGATATCAGTATAAATACACTCTAATCACATACAATGTATAATTTTGTACTAGTTAGTATTCGTTCGACGGAGTTTTCGTTAAATTTTTAGATTGGAATCTTTGAATGCGATTGATGTTAAAAGTTTTGACAAAACCACATAGTTATATTCCCTATCACGGAACGCGCCTTAATAGGAGTTTTTTTGGGAGGGTTTTAAGTGCTTAGATATTAGAAGTGGCCGAAAAAGTCGGAAACGGTTATTTAGTGTTCGGATTTTGTTAATAATGTTTGATTGACAAGTGAGTCAGCGGCATATAAGGATACCTCTGGTTACGTACACACTGAGTGAGAGGGAGCGGCTGATTATCGCGGTTAAGTGTTGACCATATTTCGTAGTGAAGGGAGGAAAAAAATAATTTACCACCTGAAAAATGCCATTGCACGTTTTTCTATAATGTACATGTCTGTACGCCGCTGCAGATATACCTACAATGGTTATAACTATTTACCATTTGATTATCTAGTCTTATATAAATCACGTTTTGTGTTTTGTACTGCACGTGTCACTTGAGTAGGTTAGGTGCCTATAATGCACTGATTCTCGCACACTCGTTATTGCGTAAGGGGCAGTTTATTTAAAGCGCTCTGCAGTGTCATCGTGACGCAACACTGCGTGTACTCAGAACGAATTACTGCTGCAGGGAATCATCGGACTAAATCTAACATATTGTTAATTGTTATATCGTAAGGCCGATACGATATTATATATGATCTTACACGCCGAGCCGCATCCTGCAGGATACTTATATGACTAGCTGTGCAGGCAACCATTTCTGATGATGGTACGAGGTAATTTGACGGTCCGGTCCGCTGATGGATATCCTGCCGCAGTAGTATCGATCCGAGAATATTCTATTCCGGATATCATTTATTATTTGGATCGCGTGTATAATGTAAATTATTACTGTTGGTCGTATTAGTTAGCGCCGATACGGTGGCGTGATGGGCATATATCATGTGCACACAACGAGTAATGACGTGTGACAACGTTCGAATCAACGCGCATTGTATGCGTACGTGAGATATATTATGGTACATGGTATTGTTCTCAGTGTGCCCATCCTGCAGCATATAATATAATATGTATATTATATATTTATATAGACCGTTTATTATTATAAACGTCTGCGCAAAAGCGTCTATATAAGTTTATTTGTTCTTTAACGCCGTTGTCGGTTTTAAATAATCACCGACGGTATTACGACCTCCTTAAGCACACCCTTTTACGAAACTGTCAGAATAGGGTTTGCACTTCGACCGCGTCCTCGGTATAGTCCCATCACTATTAATGCGAGTCCTTGCCGCAAAAACCGACGGTAGATTTATTAATCATACACATAAATAAAAAATTTAAAAAAAAAAACGATTTATGATCTACAAAATGGTCTGTTGTTTTTGTTACTCGTAAACTTTTCAAACATTCAAGTATGTATACATATTAAAACTTTAAACGAATTCTTTACGTTCGTATACCTAACTCTGCATTATAGGCCGCGTAGTAGTAGAATACAAAGTATTAGTAGTAGTGGTGGTGGTATAGTGGTGTAATACATTTATAGCATTTTTGGTAGTAATGGCGTATAGACAACACAATAGTGGCAGAAATAACGTATTCTTCTTTGATGAAAGTTTATGTGTGCAACAAAAGTTTTCATAAATGCCGTACAAAAACCGCAGCGAGTTGATGATCTAATGCGGTAAAATAAATGTATAAAAAAAAACTGGGCAAAACGTACAAAATGTGTCAGGAAATATTAAATCACACTGCACGGTGAAACTACGAATTGAAATAATATTCGCACACTTTTTATCCCGGTTGAATGAAAAAAGAAGCCGGCGATCTTTATCGGACCGTTATTATAAACGTGCAAATATTTCGAATTTCGGAGACCTAACTATAGGTATATTGAAACGTCGTTGCATAAAATCGGAAAGTGAAAAGGCTTGCATTATAATACCTACTTTACACGTGTAGGCATATATTGCAGGTGACCGCAAAAGCTATAGATTAATGAAATCTATAAGTAGATATAGCGTGTAAAAATAATTCTTCTACAGTTCGTTTACGATGCGATCAACGGGCAGCGAGCAGTTGGGTTATAATAAATCATGAACAAAATGATAATGTGTTTAGAACAAGTGTGTGTATATATAAGAGGTTAGGTTCAGGGGTGTCGGTAGCGGGTTATAGGTGTATGCACATCGAGAATGGTGAGGTGGAAATAACGCTGTTTTTCCATCCTCGAGCACTCACAATAACCACCGGTGTAGTAGGTATATTATAATATAAGTCATGTATGATTTATATGTATATGTGTATAATGCCTATATACATGCGCATTCCTCCTCATTAACGGTGACGCGGGAAGGTGTGTATATTGTTTTTTATTTCATTTCCTTTCCAGTCGTTAATAACGCGTCGCTCATTCATATATTACGGTATTAGACCTTCTCCCTAACCGTAGTTATTTGTGGACCGGAAAATGAACGTCGGTACGTGTATAATCCCATTATATGTCCCGGATTTAAGTGCAGTGGCAATAAATTTCGGTGCACAACTTCGGCCCCAGAGTCCGAATGTTCGAAATTAATTTCTACCCCCTCCCCTGCGTACTTTCACCGGCTACCTCATCTTTCTCCTACGCCTTTTCATCTTCCACCGCTTGTCGCTCTCGCTTCCCCTGGCCTTGCCCGCAATTACCTGTTCAAGGTTGTTTAAATCTAAATTGCGTTTATTTTGTTGTTGTTTTAGGACCAGACCCACTCATCCAGGGCCCATCGTGCACCTGAGCGATAATCCTGCAGATTCCAGCAAGGTAAATCTACGTATATGTATATTATATATTATTATATCGTACACACACACACACACACACACACACACACTTATCTCGAATCCGTATATATTATATATTATATAGATCAATTATGTATACACGATAAACTCGTATACAGTGTTTATTTATCTCTGATTACCGACACATGTCAGATTATTGGCTTCTTGCATAACATTACGTTATATTATGTAATATTATGTCTGTATATTGGAAGGTTAGAAATTTTATTGAAAACAAGAACTTTGGTTTATAAACGAGAATATTAATTAATAGAATTTAAAAAGTTCTATCGCTGGATGAGACGTATTTTATAGATTATGCATTAACCGCAGATCTGTAGTATAAAAAATATTATATTATTATGCATGGCTGTATTCTAGGAAATGGTAATTCGTGATTTTTCCGATCTGGTTCTCAGTTATATTGTAAAAGATTCTTGACTTCTATTTAGGTTAGAAGGAATTATAGTTGTTATGATTATAATTAATCCTTATAGGAAAATTATAAAATAAAATATTATATTATGAACTTTCACTTTATTGCTAATATATTAAAAAATAAAAAATAACATTAAAAAAAATCAAAGCACCAGACATTATTATTTTCAAAATTGGAATACCCTGTATTTAAAATCTGGTTTTTTCCTGTATGATTTCAGGCCCTTTAAGTAGTATAGCTACTATTAGTATAAGCACGGTAACAGAAAATAATCTAAATTATGTGCGGTTTATACGTGTATTATTAATTATTATAATTACATCATCGTCAAGAAGTCGGTGTTGAAGAACACGAGCCTTTAACTTTAAGTCAGTGTGTATCGATTAAAACCGTATACTGCACTACTGCAGTATCTTTTTTGCATTATAAAAGCCTTTGTAAATATTTTAAAGGTATCTATATGACTATATAGGTATTTAAGTGCAGGTACGCGAGTGTGTTTTTCCGTATATATGAATGGAAATTTCATGGATAGGTTTCGAGTGGGTTTTCTTTTTTAAATTTTACGTCATACTTCGGCTTCGGTAATTAATTCAATTCTACCAATGTTCATTGAGCTAACCACTTTAACGTGAACAGTATAAAGAACTCATTATTTAACATTTTATTCGCTTTTCATTCAAAACGAAAAATAAGACTCGTGTATCAAATCACAATGATTTCATTCGCACACAACTGTATAATGGTATAATGGATTCTTTATATATAATATGAATATGACCTATACATTTATACTAACGATCGAAAATGTTGACTTTAAGGAATTTGATTGTGTAACGTTTTCTGTTGATTATGTGTATTCAGATTATTATTATTATTATTATTATTTTTGTTTTTTTGTCAACATTTGATTTCATAATGAGTAAGCTATTTGTAATATCTTTGATAATTCAACTTTTATTTTATTTGCTTTTCTGCATGGACGGAAAAAATTATATTGTGTTGTGACATTACCAAACTTGTATTTTATAAATAAGTTATGAGGGATTGTTTTGTTTTTTCACTGGAGCCTCTCTGAACGTACTTGGGGTGACTACATTGGCCATGATTAAACGCCAAAAAGAAAAGATATTATACAAATTCAAATTGTATTAATGGTTATTCTACTTATTCTGATCGGTGGGAACAGCCAGAATAGAATACAAATAATGCTTGGAAAATAATATGACTTAATAACAGTAAAGTACGGAGGGTACGACTGACATTAGGTTAATATTTGCTTTTTACAAATACAAACACTTCAAACACATAATCCACCTCTCAAGTATTTATTTAATTTTTTTTGAATTTTATATATTCTATAATACGTTAATTTGGATTCAATACTATCCCTGATTTATTTGTTCAACACAACCGAAATTCTTTTTTTTTGTTCTTACGAAATTAGGTGTATTTAGGCTTAATTTGTTAAAATTAACTTGTCCCTCATAATATTGATTAAAAACGTGGAATTGACCTCCTCTTCTTTCCCTACTATAATTATCTTATCGACAGACAAAAAATGCAAATTATTATGTTTATCATTATTTACATGCAATATATACAACTTAATATCTAACTATTAACTTTGAATATATTCTGCGAACGGAATAAAATACACAGCTGCGATACAAAAAAACGTCAAACATGAGCTATGTCAGCCTAGCACCTCGAAAGTGAAATTTCGTATTTCGTATTGAGCTGTTTAATGACATTTTAATTTTTTAATTTTTTTTTTTTTTTTTTTTGAAAATAAGTAACCGATTTTTAATGTACAGCTTAGAATTTTTAACCCAAATGTTACCCTCGAATTGACGATTCAGTATTATAGGTTTGGGCTGACGGAGCTTTAAATATGTGGTAAAATATTTCACTGTCTAGTGTCTAGTCATATTGTTCTGTCACCACAGTTTCTACAGCAAAAAATTATTATTGCACGTATTTATATCACAAATTAGAAATACGCCGTACAAAAGACACAAAATTGTTTATAATCTATTTTTTCAATAATATTTATTGTGGTCAATTTAAAAACTGTAGAAAAAAAAGAAAATAGTGATTGTATAGGCAGTTATTTGATAAGAACTCGATTTGAGGGTACTTGGCAGGTTTTTGGGGGTCTAAATCCTCCTTAGCCTCCTTGTAATATTATTAACAATAGAAAAAATGTAATAATAAAAAAAAAAAATGTTGGGTAACATCAATTGATATTATTCGTAAAAAATTATATAACATAATTTTATTTTTATGTAAAACAGTCTGACTTTAATAGACTAACACACTCTCAGAGCCTAGTTTTTAAGGGTCATAATCCTGTAATAACGTCAAATTACGTAATAAAATTATATAATTTAATGAATCTGTTAAATACTTTTTGTTAGCTGCTCATTGGATTCGAGACTGGTCTAATGGTGTTGTGGGACCTGAAGACAAAGAAACCCGAATGCCGCTGGCAATGGGGTGACTCGCTCAAGTCTATAGATTGGCATTTTGAAGGAAAACAGTTCACGTGCAGTCACAATGATGGCAGTCTTACTACGTGGAATGTCAAGCCATCTACAAAACCAGCAAACATAATTTATCCTCATGGTGAATATTTTTTATATTAACAATATCTAGATTGATTTAATATAATATAATATTGATTATAATATAGTTGATAGTGATATCAATAATACTGTTTATAACGGTAGTCATCCGGCCAATAATTACTTTATGGAATATTTGCATTACCTATTTTAAAAATTACTAAAATATTTAAACATATATCATCTGAAATCTAGTTTTATATAAAAAAACCTATTATAGTGTACACTGTACAGCATATTATAAACTTAGTTAAAAAATATTTTTAGATTTTGCATATTTTAGTATTATTACGATGTTCATAAATCATATTATTATATCATATAAATATTATGTATTATTATCAAGTAAAAATTTCCATAGGTAATGTAATTAATGTCAAATAATAGTATGTAATTAAAACTTAAATGCTATTATATTATTTCATTACATTAATATGAATTTAAAATAAAAATGCTATTTATACTTTTGTGAATCAAAAATATTATGTTTGTTTCAACATAGGCAGGTACATTATTTTCATACATTCGCATAAAAATAGTACGAAATCAAAATTTTAATAATCTGAAAAAATTGTTTTCTCATTTTTAAACAATTCGCATACGGTATTTATTTAAATAAATATTGATGAGTTTCAGTTATTATATTATTATTTATTAAACACATAGTAGATGTATTGTTTTATACTATTTTAATTACTAGAACAAAAAATATTAGATAATGTTTCTTTAAGAAATAACTTGTAGAATCGCTAACGTCTAACTATGCAGTTTTTTCTTCCGTTCTGATTTTAAAATTATGTTCTTTTATGGTAAAATATTTAAACAAAATTATTTTTTAAAGAGATTCTATTTTTCAAAAGTTGGTTCGTAACAATTCAATTTATAATTAACTTTTTTATGTAGCCCTTGCATTCTTTTTTAGGTTTTACGGTCAGCAAAATTTGATAATGATAATGATTAAGTTAATTATTATTATTTTTATTTACTTGCCATTTAAAAATAAAGTTAATAAACGCTTTAACCTGTATAATTAAGAACTTAAAATGGACCTTTAACTTAAGCCTTCAACCTAATTAATTTAATATTTTTTCCCCAAGTTAAACACAAGTATTTTTAACTACCCCTTTCAACCCCCGTCCCCATCAAAAAAAAAAACAAATCAATATTTTTGAACAAACATATAAATGTATAATCTTCTTGTTTTATTAGTTTATACATTCATTTATTTGTTTTTTTTTTTGTTTTAGCAAAAAACAAATCAGAATCATGCAAGCCCATTCAAAAAGTCGAGTGGAAATCATCGAAATCCGGGTAAATGTGTAATAATTAAAAATATTAATTCACAATCATTAATATGATTCAACTGTCATTAACGGACATAATGGCAGTACCTATCTACTATTATTGTTATTATTATTGGATTTTTCGCTGATGTGCAATAATTTACTTTGCTTATGCTACTTTATATAATGTGTATACAGTATATAAATAATATAATTTTTTATTTTTAATGCTACCCTTGTGCTTTTAAATCATACTGTTCTCACTATTTTCCGTTATATATGTCATTGCCAGTGAATCGTATTTGATATTTTCTGGAGGGTTGACCGCCGATACTGCTGGACGCGTGCCCAGCATAACGATCATGCACGGGAAAACGACTACCGTTCTCGAAATGGACCACAACATCGTCGACTTCGTTACGCTGTGCGAAAGTCCTTACAACAGCGGTTAGTACCTATATATTTATGTAATAAGTGTAATAAAATTATACGTTTCTTTGTCGATGTGTGCATGTCAGAGGAGTGTTATTTACGGGTCAGCAAAGGTTAGTGGCGTTCAATTGGACCCTTAAACAGAATTATACACTGCATTATTACATATAGGGTCGTACTTATCGACAACATAATAAACATAATTAAATACGAATTTGTATTATTTCTCATTTTACTTCATCTATTCATCTATTCCCCTAGTGACCTATCGAGTAATAATAATTTATAAATACCTACGCCTCTGCCCTCTACGACGATATTAATTATAGTGTATCTCATACAAGTTTATTCGATACCTAAGTCAGTTAACCAAATTATCGGTCGGGTTAGCTTTGAAAACCGAAATATGCATTATGCATAATATATCATATCTTCCGTGGTTATCATACCGTCTCTCTAGCGACTTTAATATAATATGTTTACCGGTGTTCGAGAWAAGGCGCGTATCACGTGCAGTATAAACGCCACACGTGCCAGCTCACATCGCTATTATAATTGGTTTTGAGACCTTAAGTGCGTCTTGAATTGTAGCTTGAAATGCTCGCATAGTTTCTCAGTTCTGAGTTATCGTCACAGCAGTGTTCGGAACGTTATTATTTTAGTTGTTTTTTTACCGTAAACGTCATCTCCAACTTCCAGGATCAAAAAATATTTCTCTATCACCAAATATCTCTAATATTCAGTTATCATCAACGTTTATACAGCGTTTAAATTAAATGATGGTGTCAAAACGCTCGCACTATAAAGTTTAAGAATTTTAAACCGTTTTAACGCCATCATATAAACGWGGTAATAAAGAAATATATTTCAAACAGCATTCTTTAAACGTGTATAAAACACTGCGTTGTGTATTCGTTAACTACAATTTCCAATATGGAAACATTTTATAGACTAAATTTGTAGATAATAGATATAAAATCTCTGAAAAATTAATTAAAACGCTCTTTGTTAAAAATAAAATGATTTATTTCTAAAATATTACTTCGTTTAAATTAAACATTTTAATATTTTACAAATAACGCACTATACGATTCTTTACGGAATCTTATGAGAACGGATATATAGTCTCAGGTCCGACCTTCACTTGCACCACACAAAATATTAAAATATTATATAGTATTACATATTTATTTAATCTATAAAGATGTATAGGTTATCAACAACTAAATGGTTGTTATACTGATAAGGAATAGAAGTATATGCAATTTTAAAGTGCTTACGCGTGCAAAGGAAAATTTATTATAATATTTGGACACGAAAACTAACTTACTCAACCTAAAAAAATAGATGACAGACAAACAACCTCTTGTCGTCGCGTGTGTAGTCAGAAGACTTACATTTTAAACACTGTTGTCTGTTTGGTAATTCGGTTTCTACACGGCAAGATCGTAAACATTAGTACCTACTATTGCATTATTTAAATATACTATTATTTGTTTTCTGAATGTTAAAAATATCAATGAAATATTCTTTGAAAAGAAAAATAGCTATTACAATTGTCTGACGACTATGACACTGCACTTTATCAATATAATTTAATCATTATATAAGTATTACGTGGTATGTGTTCACCCTGATGTAATTTGTTTTTATCCCACTCTATATTCATTTTTCACGAAATTCCACGTGGAAGACATTTATAATATCGATACCTTTAATATGTATTCCATCGGTTTTTACTTAATTTTAACGTAGGTATAGATTTAGATGTACCCTTTGATTGAGAAGTCTTCACTTCTTTGTATTTAATTAGAGGAGGATAGATTATAAATAATCAAAAGTTATAATGACCAAATTGAAAAATTAATATAAACAAATAAATTCATTACATATTATAATATAACGAAATATTTACTTATATATGAACGGGGAAGATTTCGCGTTAAGTTAGGTTCGATTCTGTTTCGATAAATAGCTATTTATAAATTAGCGTGATAGGTAGATTGATTTTTCAACCCCTATATCGATCAATCCCACAAACGCTGCTGACGGAAGTCCTTCTCGATTATAATATATTTTTATTATATTTAAAAGGTGGCCATCCCCTTGCGCGTTAACTAGGTTTACGTCGTCGTCGTCGTCATCATCACCTTAGATTGTATTAAAATAACACATTCGTCGCGTACTTAAACTGGCTTATAGCTTTATTAGTTATTAATCGTTAATTATTTCTCGGTTCCGTGGCATCAGACGTCCAAGAGCCGTATGCCGTAGCGGTACTCATGCAAAACGACCTGGTGCTGATCGACCTGCTCAGCTCAGGGTACCCGTGTTTCGAGAACCCACACCCGATGGACATTCACGAATCACCCGTGTCATGCGTCCATTACATCGCCGATTGCCCTTCAGACTTGATACCTGCTTTCTATTCGGTCGGTTCGAGGTCCGCATCCAAGCGGACCGGCTACAGCGAGAACAAGTGGCCCATTGCCGGTGGTGAGTGGAGCCCGACATCGTGCAGCTACAACGAGATAATTCTCACGGGGTGAGTAATCTACGAATATATATTATATCACATACAAGACCCCACATCAAACTTTTAGTCCTTATTCTAAATATTTTTGAGGGCGCCATACAAAACTTCCGATAAATTACAAGTCATACGTGTATCCCATACACGTCCAATAAGTATTTCTATACAACTTTCAAAATTTCAAACGGCCATTCATAATTCATTTAACAGGTGCGTTAAATAGCTGGGCTCTTATAATTCCGGTCCAACAGCCTCCACCCACCACTATGGGTACCCTATATACATTATATTATGTACCTATACTATTTGTATTTACGATTCAATTGCACTCCCGTAATTATACGTACATTATATTATTGTGTCATTCGCACAACAGCGGTGTGTTAAGTTTGTTATAGTGTATATACTATTAGTCTTTATTTAATAACATTTTGTACTTTTATGTACGTATTAAATGTCTATAGCCACCGTACTTGAATGACGTTTGACAAAAAAAATTAATTTATTAAATCGATTTTATATAATTACATAAAAAAAAACAATAAAACAAAATCTATCCTACTGTTGATTTTTTAAATTTAAAAAAATCAAAAGAGGTCCGAGAACCGTTGGTATTTTACAGGGCTTAAATAAATTGTATACGATTGAAAATCTGTCGTTTTGTCATATTATTATGTCTCGTTATTATTGTGCTGAAGCATACTTTATAATAACTTGAATCTTAGTTATTAACTATGTGTATGTAGATTTGACATTGACACCGATGATAAACAATGATCGACACAGAGTCGCGATAACTGGAATGTTTAGAAGAAACAAGTTTACATCAAAAATTATAAAATATATACCCCCTCAAGATGATCATATTATATTAATTATGTATTTATTAAGCACAATGCTATTTATTCTTTGGTACTTCAAAACAATAAATATATTGTGACCCTTGATACCTCGATTGTTTTTCCACCGCAAATAATCCGATTATATACGTGGTTATTTCAACTACTGTTGTGGTTATTTTAGAGCKATCGAATGACAAAATCCAGAGTTTATCCAATTACCCAAAACTTAAAGGATATATAGTAAAAAGGTTTGCTCAACGTCGTGAAAAAAATGTTGTAGTAAGTGGACCGTATTTAATGAAAAGAGCAGAATTCACGAAATTTTAAATTACTTTATAGAACTTCATAATAATAATAATATCGCGTTTAGAAAAGTTTGTGTAGAAAGTTCAACAGTTCGTGACGGTATTCGTGAGAGGAATAGATTGACAAATTAAAATAAATTTTAAATTATTATTCTGCCGAGTTCTGGTGAATGCGAATGAAATGGGACTTTTTTTAATGGCTTTCAGACCTTTGCTTATTGAATTTAAAAGCGATTCTGATTAATAAATATCTAACTTCAATTGTAACCAAAATAACTTTATACGTCGCTTTCACATATAGACACAAAATATATCCTCGTGACTACATAATGAATGCATTCATAATGTGCCAATCATTATGCACATTTTTAGAGTTTTTACCMCAATATATAATACACCATTGTTAATAATTGCATGATTCGTGCTACCGTTACAGACACACGGACGGTAGCGTTCGGTTTTGGGACGCGAGTGCTGGCAGTCTACAAGTGCTGTACAAACTGAAAACTGCCAAGGTGTTCGAAAAAGCCAGGTCGAAATCACCGGAAGGTGGTGATGAAGATCAATTTTCCGTGCAACTGTTGTCATTCTGTCCGGAGAGCAGGAAATTAGCCGTTGCCGGCATCTCGTCTTACGTCGTACTATTCAAATTCCGCAAACTCGAGTCAACGTTCGAAACCACGGTAATATAACATCGTCATAGTCATTTATAATAACGCAAACACCCCGTATCATTATTATAGTTGATTAGGTATACAACAATATATTCTCCTTAATACGATACGSTACAATGGAAATCCGGATTTATAATATACCTTTATCTATATATGTACTTATTGTTACATAGCACGAGGTATAATTTTAGATACCCAAGTATGGCGACTGTCATAGTGAATTATTTGTGGGGAAGGGTTGGGTACTGGGTGAATGGCACATATAGCCTGGTACCAATAGCCCATATGATTGAGATTAAAATAATTAAGTGAACACTGAAYACCTATATCATATATTACTGATAATTCGTTTTATAAAAAAATATATATTCGTGTAAATATAATATACATGGTTTCAGTCCCCTACCTTGCGTACACTAATTGGTAAATGGGTAGCTATACTATTAAAATTTGATATTCGCCATACGGAATTCTTTGTAGTCCGGCGTGACTGGGTACCTACATAAGGTTGTTAAATAAGGTTATAACATAATATTGTTGTATACAGGCACCGARTACTTTTTTTTTTAAATACGAATCGTGCGTATTAAGTCTTTTTTAATTATGTATATGTATAAGTCATAAATACAGCACGGCATTGCGGATCAAAAGCTAAACATGGTAATAAACATAGACTGTACTCTCGAGTGTACACTATAATATATTATATTATTTGCTTGAAGAAAATGTACAGTGTATACAGAGCTAATAGGGTAGAGGATATATACTATATGCAAATAAAGAAAGATCAGAACCGAATATTTGTATAAACCTATATATCAGGTTTAAGTACAATAACTCCGTTATGTAGTGCATTATTTATACATACGCGTTATTTTAATTGGTMAAGATATAGTTTAGTACCTCAAAAAGCGTAAAAAACAATGATTTATATACGTATCCAGCATCTACACATTACTAAAACATAATTTGTTCTTTGACTCTTAAAATAGTTCAAATTGATCCTTTCCGTGCGCGTGGTTGACCATTTTAAGTGAATCTGATGTGTGCATATAATATTATTAGGAGTTATCCAACCGTATTTGTACAATAAGACCCGCATTTCAAGATTTCTTGATAAACGTTCTTCATTAAAATAAAACAGTGATCTTAATAATAGAAAATTTGTATTTTATCAATTTTTGTTAAAAGACTATACTAGTTATACTATATTTAACAAACATGAAAAGTAATTATTTGATTGAAATATATTATCTTATATATATTATACTCGTCTTTTATTTAAATGTTATTTAATAATTATACAGAATTTGGTAATTAATTTTAATTAAAATTTAATGTCAACAATAGGATGAATCCTTTACATAATTTAATGACATAGGTACAATATTTATTTTAGAACAGAGTAAACAATTACTACATAATATGTACATTGTGTATCCGTAAACTCTAATTTAAATAAATTCATGTATATTTTATTAATGAAAAACAAAGTATTAGCATTACTTCAATGATAAAGGTAATCTTTTTATCTTTTTTATAGACATAAAATAACAMAATTAAACATATCATTGTTGGACTGCCTGGTGTAATTTTAAAATAAAATTAATTTGTTGGTAATAGTATTGATTTTCAACTACATTGCACGTTTAAATTAAAGTTATACAATAATAATAGACTAAAAGATAAAGTTTAAAACAGGTATATGTTAAAAAAAAAATTATAAAAGCAWGTTTTTTTCAAAGTTTCAAATTATGACGTTCGTGTATTTTATAAGACTTGTACATAATGGGTTATATTAGTGCGTTTACTTAAATTACATTATTATTTATTATGAGACATCAATTAATATAATATAATCAACTGTTATTATTTTTAAATAGCCCATACTCTCTTATTGTGTTATACTTAAATAGTGTTAAGATTGTTAATCATATTTCCATGATTATATAATGAAAAACGTTTAAAAGGGACCTATCACTGTGCTTTAAAATATTCTATAAATAATTTTATCAAACACTTTACATGTTTTTAATTGATATATATTACGATATTATTAATAAAAAATGTTCATTCAATATTTGCTTGATTTTATGTCTATGAACCAATAGAGTTTAGTTATTATATATACTATATAGAGAGTAGAAAGAACACAAATGTCCGCTAACTTAAAAAAATATTTATAAGAATTTATTTTTCTAAGTAATAGTATAATAGACACTATAGTTTCTATTTTACCACAAAACAGTTCTTGTTCAAATAAATTATTACATAATAATAATCTTCCTTTCTACAAATTGTTGTTGTATTGTAATGTCAATATTCAATTCAATAACCTATTAAAAATAGATGTTTTCTCACATAAATGTTTTTAACGAGTGTAATAACATATATACAACGTTTATAAAATAAAAACGTTGTTTATTTCTACCTGTTATTTTAACATTATCTTTCCATTTAGGTTGATTTGAAATGTTACTAATGCAATTTGTAGCATCTTATATAAATTCGTGTRTAATGATTATAATAGGTAGGATAGTATAGTTTTAATATCATTATTTACTTATAAATTTAAATCCTTWATCATTATTACTACGTTTTTATTGAATTTAGTTTATTTTCATGTCGATTTTCCTTGGATTTATAGAAGAAAAAAATTACCGATAACCGTAAAAATAACACCAAATATGTTTTTAATATTTAATAAATTCAATTCGATTTTAACGAACGCAATTTTRTCTCAGACCCGTGGGAGATAAACAAAATATTAATGTAGCCTAAACAAACGTTGACTTTTTCCCCTCGACTATTATAATAATACGTGTAGGTAATAAATAATAACGTACGACCCGCACACAGTTCGTCGGTCGACTATAGCATACCGATTTCATCAATTGGAGTATTGTATATTTGTATTGATCTCTGTAATATCCTTGTCCGCGATGTGAATAATAATCACAATAATAATATGTAAAACCKAGACATTTCCGATCGTAAACAGAACATGAACCATAATTAGAGCCTATATTTGCAAAATGCCCTGTAAAAACCTAACAAACAATCATCGAATGATAAATGCATTTATAACCAAATCTCGAAATTATAAAAAAAAAAAACTCTATTATTATGTAAATGTAACTCCAAAATGTGCGTAATTTAAAAGTAGGCAGATGGTGCAACGACGCAATCGTTTTAAAACTATTTCGATACTATTGCGTCTTGTCGCAGAACCTGCAGATATATAGTACGACTCGAATAAAAAAAATATACTGCGATTACGTGACGTAATAATACAAAAATATTAATTTTTATATTTATAACTAGATCACGTTTCAATTTTATTTTTATATTTTTTAATCACCCGAGAAATGAAAAAAAAATGTTTTAAAACAAAATCAATAACTCCGAAAACGTCATAAAAAGTCCCGGCATTAGTATAACGCGTGTACTCAAAACACGTCTCGAGTCTGTTCCATTAAAATATAAAATATATATGCAAATCCGGGTTCCGAGGATGATAATTTTAKGTATTAAGCGATTCACCAACATTAACCGTCATGATTTTATGTCGTGCATAACAAATTACAACAAAACGCGCGTTCATAATATGTTTGCAGATTTAATATTTTAGACGGAAAATACTATTGTAGAACYCCGAAAGCACGGGCAGCGAGTTTTGCGACGCGTTTCGTGCGATATYCGATASACGAAWTTTTTTTTTTGCGTGCAGTAAATTCTTATCGAACGAAATATATTATATTATATTGGTGGAAACCAAAGGCAACCGCAAAAATGTTAGCCAGTGGGGGGAAGGGACAAAGTTGAAAGTCTCTGCAGCATAATATTATGCTTTTTTTTTGCAATTGATAAAACATTTAATATTTATTAAAACAGCCCCCCCCTCGGCGCAACTCCCTGCTGGTGACCTTGGTGCTCTTTCGGAGCTCGAATGGTTTTGATTTTTTCAATCCTAATTTGGACACTGTCACGATAATGTCGCCCCCGCAATATGTACTCACCTCCTGTGTCGATGACGTTGCAGTTGTATCATTATAATATCGTCGTTGTGGTTGTGTTTTGCAGACGCTCGAGATACCGATATACTCGGAGAGCTTGGACGAGGCCGCCGAAAGCTCRCCCGAAGAAGCGCCATCGAAACYRCCGGGCGCGTCCGACGAAAGTACCACGCTGGTCAAGGTCCGGACAGGGCCCCAGAAGAAACCACCAGGCTTCCAGGCATGTCTGGCTTGCGTCACGCCCTCCGCCAACGGTGAACCACCTGGTCAGATCACCGCGCTCACGATTAATTCATCGTACGGACTGTGAGTATATACCTAACCTATATTAATATGTGTTGTATTATGCGTGCAGAATTATTATTAGGTACTACTTAATTATTTTGTCCGGATCGATTTCAATAACCCCCACTCCCCATCCCACCAGCAATTAAATCCTACAAATATGCCGCTGTCGGTATATACTCCGCACATGTAACATAATTAATTATTATGGTATTGTTATCTCATCGACGGKACCAACTATTATAAGGATAAGGCCTTTTCCGTAAACCTGAAATAATTGTAGATATACTGCATGTGGTCCTGTTTCGGCTAGCGATCAATCATAGATCTCTCCTATTCATATTTTTCCACAGCTTTAATATTACACCGTGGGCCTATAAACTGAACATTTTTTTTTATTATTCTTACAATTCTTTCATAGCGTTGCATGGTATATTTTGTCTGTCATTTTTGGTTTCACAATTAAGTTACATTGTTGGTTTCAAAATAATATATGGTTATTTTTTTTCTATGAAACACAAGTTGCGGTAATTTTATAGATACGCTTAGAGTTAAGCGATTCATAAACAACGTTTGATGTAAATTTCCATGAACATTTTGCTGGCTTAGAAGAGATWATCTTTTTCAGCTGAAAAGAGAGACACCCTATTAACCAATGATGCTCACTGCGGGGAAAAAATATGATCGTGTCGTCCAGCTGACACTTCTTAAAATGATCGGAGGTTGGATGATTTGACATCTAGGTCAAATAATAYTATATTTTGTAATGAACGTGATGTAATTATAAATCTGATTTAAATCGGTGGTAAATATACGCTGCAGATACGATAAATCGCATTGAGTTTGTATTGCTGGGCGGGATTGGGTTGTCGAGTGAACAATCTCGAGAGCTTTATATGCCCTTTAACCCATAYCATAGACATTTTGCCCATTTTGGTTTGCACCATTGCAACTGCAGACGAGTTGATTCACTAAATGTGCTAACCTCCCTTTTCTGTTTTAGAAATGGATTAATTCAAATTCCAATTTTTGGGACTTTTAGATGTACTTAGATTTTTTATACCACTAAGCCATAAGGAGTGTCCAAACTTTTTTTTTAGAATTAGAACCAACCTTTTTTTACGGTAATTTATGAAGCAGATGGTTTTAGTCTAACGTTAATGACAGGCATATTCATTAAAATTCAAAACAGTAGTTTTAGTGTTATTTAATTATTAATTAGTTATTTCAAATATTTTATTYATACTATGAATTCATGATAATAGATAGGTATGAAAAATATGGTAGCCATCACGTTTTGAAACATATTAATTTATAAACATTTTATAATTTGTAAAAATTACCTATTAAATTAATTACTGTGATGCCAAAAATGTTAAAATTTAAGAAATGATGACAATTCCTAGAAAACAATGAAAATTCTTAATCCAGGAAGGAAATTATATTATTTTCTTGTACCTGCTTGTTATTTCCTAACAATATCAGGCAGTGATCGATCATTATTATTTTAAACACCTATTGACTATTACAGTATTACTAATAGTTAATTGAAGAAACTGGAATTCTTATTTTCAACTATTTAATCTAGGTAGAATATATTTTAAATCCTAGAATAATATTTTCTATAACGATAAGTTATAACTAACAGTCCGTTTTTTCGSCCTTCTCATTCTTTTTTGTCGAAATACATTAAACATCTTTGTCAAATTGCAAAAATCTTATTTCATCCATCGGTAAACCATATTGGAAATAATATCTGAATACTGGTATGATATTGGGTCACATTTTTATGTATTATACTTAAATATACATACATAGGTAGCCGATATGTGGTCGTTTACAAAACCATTATAGAGTCTGCGCGCACTTGATCGCAATAAAAATCAAGTATTGATACCATTTYCTAATAAACTACGAGAATATTATCAAAAGTCATCTAAACCATTACTATCAAAATTTTCCAGTAATTGCCATCGTTTCCTAAAATTTCGACATTCCAGATAATATACAGATATCACAATAACTTCGAAACTAATCGTTTCAATCAACATTTACAAAAAAATKATCTGCTTATTAATGCTTACTAGTTGATGCTCAAAAAATTGATTTGTCTTCCACTCCTCAAATAGTATAAAGATCTAAATAATTATTGCAAATATCGTCTTAATAAAAGTATACTTAAAAATTCCGAATTCGTATAAATTTATTATTAAGCGTATTGATCAATTTTTCCGAAATTCTATAAACATTTGAAAATTTTATTTTATATTTAAGTTGCTATCTTAATTATTTTAATACTTTTCCACTATTTTCTACTATCTGATACCTATTTATATGAGGATGATAAGTGTATAATATCAACAAAAATGAATTCACAGGAAAAACTCTAACGATATATATTACGTCAGATTTTCATATTCTTTTTTTATYAAAAAGATGGGTACTTTTTTCAGGTCAAATCTTTTTCAGAGTTTGAATTTTCATTTTACTTTAAATAATGCTAGAAAAATACTAGGGAAATTAACTAATGTTGAGCTGAGCATCATTAAAATGCATATTTTCGATTGTATAATTATAATTTAGAAAATTGAGCTTTTATTAAATTAACATAGGTTCATCCTTTCAATAAAAAAAAAGCGTTAAGTGGATATCGCTCTGCTATACAGTAGGTTACAAGTGGGTTACTGTAATGGATAGAATTAAATTTGGATCCAATGATATTATATCATTGTATACGAAAAACGATTCTGAGCAGAGACGGTTTATCTGTCTAAGATATATTACAGATTATTAATACTTATTATTATTACTTATTAAAATATTTAACTTTCCGGTTGACATTTTTTTTTTCTGATAAAGGTAGACAAACTTATGAAGAACTTTAAATTAAATTTTCAAATCTTAAAGTTGAAAAYAAAAATTTTATGAATTTCTATCTAAGATAATTTGAACATTGYGTAATTTTCATGTATTTAGTAAATATTTGAACTTTAAATGCTTATAAAAAAAATCGTGGCTATGTATTTTTAATATTTTTCAACTGCCATTGAAACAATATGTTGGAAGCCTTGTATTAAATTTTCAAGCTTTTCTACCAACAAATACATTTTTATCGATATTAATTTWAAAAAAAAACTAATAATGATCGAAAATTGCATAGAAATAGTTCAAATTGAGTCGAAATTTTTTGAAAATTGCATGATAGGTAGAATATA